CTCAGCATAAACCAGGGGTCTCCAACGTTCTTGAGCCTGAGGGCACCTGAGACAGTGAACATCTCTCCTTATATATAATTGAATAGTGGGTGCCAAAGTTCTAACTCTAAAATGCACTCCCTTAGTGTATGGCTGATGGCACTGCCCCTCAGCATATATCGCCACCAATCAGAAGGCAAAGCCCGGGTCCCGCCCACACCACAACTGCTGCGACAACCTGGTCTTTTGCATATGGAAGCTGATTGGACTTCACTCCATTCCACACCTCAAACTCCACCCCCCGCAAGGCAGTTGGAATGTCAGTTGCATATGGAACCTGCTGTATTCTGGTGGAGTGCAGGTCCCAGGTTCATGTTTTAAAAGCAGACTGACACTGTTTGCCCAAAGCCAGAGCACTCTCCCAGAGCCTCTTTCTAGATCCCGTTGTATTGATTTCCACAACGGGCCTTATTTCTAGTAAGAACATAAGAGAAGCCAATGTTGGATCAGGCCAAATGGTCCATCCAGTCCAACACTCTGTCACACAGTGGCCAAAAATACCAGGTGCCATCAGGAGGTCCAGCAGTGGGGCCAGAACTCCAGAAGCCCTCCCACTGATGCCCCCCCCAAGCACCAAGAATACAGAGCATCACTTGCCCCAGCCTGAGAGTCCCTATCTATACCTTGTGGCTATAGCCACTGATGGACCTCTGCTCCATATGCTTATCCAATTCCCTCTTAAAGCCGTCCATGCTTGTAGCCACCACTATCTCCCGTGGCAGTGAATTCCATGTGTAAATCACTCTTTGGGTGAAGAAGCACTTCCTTTTATCTGTTCCAACCCGACCGCTCAGCAATTTCATGGAGTGCCCACGAGTGAGGCAGGCACAGTCACAAAATGGCTGCTGCCACAGCCGGCCTCAATATGGCTGCCACAGCTTACCTTAGGTCACACGATGAAGAACCTTGTGCTGCGGTGACAGTTGCTGTCAAAGAAATATTTTTTAAAACCTATGCAGCCAACGGCTAATCAGAAGCCTTACCGGGCAAAGAGCCCCACCTGCCTCGTCCACTTTCCAAAAATACTTGGCAGGTGCCAGGAAAGGTGTTGGCAGGTGCACAGCACCCTTGGGCACCACGCTGGGAATCCCCGGCATAAATGGTTGAGATATATTATTATTAATTAATTTATCGATATGATATCTACCCTGCGTCCCTGCTCTCAAAGGGCCACCAAGGTGGCTAACGGATTATAACACAGAAAGCGAAATATCGTTTTAAACGCAGCATTAACTTACTAGGAAGTTTGACTGGATCAGATCGAAGAAGCTTCTTGTCCAGTTTGAAAGTATTCTTCTTCTCACTGCTCTGGGCAGACCTGCGAATTTTTGGGACAGGGAGACACTTGTTGTGGTCACTTCATTTTTATTACAGTGTGAATGGACTGAAGAAACCCTACACATGTAACTGTATTGACTGTAAATGGGTTTGCTGATTACACATCCATGTGAACAAAATAACATTTCTAATACGGCTTTCGGGTTGCTTTGCAAGGCGACTTGAGAGCCAGCACGGTGTAGGGGTTAGAGTGTCAAATTAGCATCTGGGAGACCCAGGTTCGAATCCCCACTCCACCATGGAACCTTGCTGGGTGACCTTGGGCCAGTCACACACACTCTCAGCATGACCTACCTCACAGGGTTGTTGTGAGGATAATATGAACGAGAGGAGAATGAACTAGGCTGCCTTGTGTCTCCATTGGGGAGAAGGGCGGGATATCAATGAAGAAAAATTAGAGTATCTTAGAAAAGGCATTCCTCTGCCTTCTGACCGGGGGGGGGGGGGGTTAAAATGGGGGGGCGGAAAAGAAAGCCATGTGAGGGGCCCCATCTGATGGCATCTTGCAGAGGGCTCCCCATGGAGCCATCCCTGTGGAGTGTTTTAATACCAGAAATACTCCAAGGTAAGCGGAGTGCAAATAAAGTGTGCTGGATTTAACGGATTTCTCCAGTTTGACAGAACATTTTTTTTTTAATCCCCCTAAAGAGAATACTAACAGCTACAGGTTTAAGTGACATTCTAAATACCAAGGAAGTTGATCCAATAAAAAAACAACAATAAAACCCCCCATTAAATTAAATTAAACTAATAATTTCACAGGTGATGGTCAGGAGAAAAACCTAAATTTGATCAAACTCAGAAACTGATATGCAGTTCATAATATTAAAGACACCAGTTTTGCAGATGGGTTATTCTCTTTCTACGGTCTCTCTTTTCCAAAAACAGCCAATGCAGAAAGATATCTTTCGAGCTCCTACCATAGCTGTTTTTTGCCCTGAATTTGATGCTGTTCAGAAGTGGGTGTTTTTCCTGCTTTCGCACACCATTGTGGCAATACTCATGTAACTCCAGGGCTTTCCCCGACTTTTCCCCATCTTTCTCAAACGTGCTTTGCTCCTAAGTTTTGGCAGACACTGAGTAGCTGCAGTGGGGATGAAAAAGTTTGAATTTTTCTGGTCCTGCCCCCACATCAGCCATTTCTACTCCCAGTATCCACTTCCTGTCTGCACTGCAGGGGTTTTTTTTAAACCAACAATTTAAGAGCATTATAGCAACATACTGTTATACCAAAATATACATCAGGTTCTTTGAATTACAAGCCCTCGTTTAAAAAAATTATCAAGTCTCTAGCCTCTTTCCTTGAGGAGATATATGGGGAAAGGCAAAGCTCTGCAAAACAATAGAATACTTACTTTTTTAAAAAAAAGAAAGCTCAGAACTCAGAGATCTGATGCGTATTTTGGCATAACGCTATAGTGATGTAAAAATATTAAACTGTCAATTAAAAAAAAACTATCAGGGAAACCAGCTGTGTGGAAGCCATCGCCCCGGTGTTGTACTACCAGTGGCAGCAGGGAAAGGACACAAGGCAGTCACCATATGGAAAACACATACATTTATTTAGGGAAAGGCTGTGGAATTCATACTTCATGACCTACTGAATTTCAGTTCCGAAAGGAGAGTCCTGCTGGATCGGACCAAAATTCCATCCAGTCCACAATTCTGTTTCAAGTGGAAGGCCATGGGAAGCTGGCATGGAGGCCAAAGTTGACAGAGACATTTTTCTCCTTCTCCCAAAATACTAGAACTCAAGGGCATCCAATGAAGCTGATGGGCAGTAGGTTCACGACGGACAAAAGGAAACACTATTTTACCCGGACAGTGATTTAAATGTGGAACTCGCTGCCAGAGGATGGCCACAGGAATAAACAGCTTTAAAGGGGGATTAGATAGATTCATTGAGGAGAGGTCAATCAGTGACTACTAACCATGGTGACCAAGGGGAACCCCCAGAGAGGCACTAAACATCTGAATCCCAGAGCCAGGAGGCAACATCAGGGGAAGGCCTCGGCCTCTATGCCCTCTTGTTGGCCCTCCAGAGGAACTCGCTGGCCACTGTGTGTGACAGGATGCCAGACTAGATGGACCACTGGTGTAATCCAGCAGGGCTCTTCGTATGCTCTTATCAGGGGAAGGTCTCTGCCTCTCTGCCCTGATGTTGGCCCTCCAGAGGAACTGGTTGAGGCCACTGTGTGAAACAGGATGCTGGACTAGATGGACTATTGGTCTGATCCAACAGGGCTCTTCTTATGTTCTTCTGAAGGCCTCAGCCTCTCTGCCCTGTTGTTGGCCCTCCAGAGGAACTGGATGGCCACTGTGTGTGACAGGATGCTGGATTAGATGGACCACTGGTCTGATCCAGCAGGGCTCTTCTTATCAGACAAAAATTCCATCCAGTCTAGCATCCTGTTTCAAGTGGAAGGCCACCAGTGTTAACCCTTCCAGCAACTGGCATTCAATGGTAGGCTGCCTCCGAACATGGTCGTTCCGCTGTTAGACATCACAGCTAAAAGTTAGTGATAGATCAATCCTTCATGAATTGGTCGGATTTTCCTTTTAAAGACAGCAGCCATCATTGCACCAACCCAAGGCAGATTCCTGCTCCCCCAAACGATTAGTTGCTGGAAAATTCTGACACTACCAAATCAGCAGCTGCTTTTGTGTTAGGTGCAGCCACGAGCTATCAACATTTCAAGCACTGTCGGATGGACGCAGGACTGGAAGTTCACAATTAAACAGTGGTCAGTGTTTCTATAAGGTCATGAAGCTGTGGAGGTTGGTTGGGGGGGCGGTAAAAGCAACTTTAATTCACCGCTAAAAGAAAGACTGTGGAATAACACTGAAACTGCTAATATTCAGCAGCCTGATCTCTCAAATTTCTGTCTTTTCCTTCCACCAAGCACAGTAGCATGTATTCTCATCTCCCTCACAGTGACCTCACAATAACCTTATAAGGTAGGCCAGATTGAGCGAACGGACAGCTGGATGACAGCCAGCCAGCCTCACAGCTGAACACCACTCTGGTCTCTTTGGATCTAGTCAGACAATGTAATTCAGGAGTCCCCAACCTTTCTGAGCCTGTAGGCACCTTTGGAATTCTGACACAGGATGTAAGCACAACCACAAAATGGCTGCCACAGGGTGGTAGGACCAACTACAAAATGGCTGCCGCAGGATATGGTGACAACCTTCTTTGGAGGTTTTCGAACAGAGGCTAGATGGACATCTGACAGTACCGCTGATTCTGTGAACTTAGGCAGATCATAAAAGGGAGGGTAGGAAGGGCTGCACCAGTGCTTAGTTCTTGTGGCCCTTTCTTACACGCCTAGGGAAATGACGATCGCCACTTTGGGATCAGGAAGCAATTTTTATCCAGGCCAGTTTGGCTGGGGATCCTGGAGGTTTTTTGCCACCTTCTGGGCATGGAGATGGGGTCACTGGGTGTGTATGTGTGGGGGGGAAGTATTTGTGAATTTCCTGCATCGTGCAGGGGGTTGAACTAGATGACCCTGGTGGTCCCTTCCAACTCTATGATTCCAGACACAAAATGTCTGGGAGTGAGTTTATTTTCAAATGAACACACTGTTTTAAAAATATTTTCTTGCATACAAATAACTTACCTTCAGAAATGCAGCGAAGATCCCCATACTGTGGCGGCAGCTGCCATCAAAGCATTTTTTAAAAAATCTGCACCACCCATCATCTGAGTGAGCCAATCAGAAGCCCTGCTGGGCAAAACCCCAATCTGGCCCCACCCTAGAGATGTGAGGGCCCGGGAAAAAAACGGAAAAATTCGGGGGGAAAATGTTTTTTCCCCGTTTTTTTCCTGAAGCCTTTTTGGTTTTTTTCCTGAAAAATTGGAAAAATTGAAAAAAGAAAAAAAATTGATTATGGAACATTTTATTTTAACATGATGAATACAATATTTTAAGACAAGGTGTTCAAATATTTTCCAAATCATTTCTAAAATATATATATATGGTATCAGATTGATCTAATTTCTGTGCACTGAGGACAAGCAAGTCCTAGGTTACAAACTGAACCCTCCAATGCAAGAACAAGATGCATTTCTTCCTTTAGGAGGTACGATTGTCAGAAGAAAATAAAAAAGTTTCAGTTTTGTTTTTGCATGTGGGAATTATTTCAAAATTCTGTTTGAAATAACTGTTTGGATACACTATATTTTTAATATGCTAGTTGTGATAATTTCATGCCAAGTAAAAATGTCCATAGTCATATTTTATGTTCCTAAAGTAACAGAATGACTTTCAATCTAGAAAAGACAAAAGAAATGCTAATGTAGCATTTTTTTCAATTTTTCCAAAAATTTCCATTTCCCCCCGGAAAAAAACGGGATTTTTCTGAGCTCCAAAATTTCCGGAAATTTTACATCTCTACCCCAACTTTTTGAATGCCAGGAAAGTATTAGCAGATACAATACTGCCCACGGGCACCGTGTTGGGGACCCCTGCTCTGCTTCACCACACTGCTTTGCTACCATAGCTGACGACTCAGCACCTCCCACCTCTATCTCCCCATCACCATCCCCCTCCCTCCCTCCCACACATCCACCTTCTCTCCTGCACTCTGGGGAGAAATTATGAGCCACTGCATTGGTCAACTGGAAAAGAATCAAGGAACAGCAGCTGAATACCTCTACTAGGCCCAAGAAGGACATTGCAGCAAGGACCACAGTAAAATGGAGGAAAGACTCCGAGCTCCTCGCAGAAAGGCTCGAACGAGCTCAAGCTAGGTAAAGACCTCAGGAAGCGCCGCAAAGTGGCAGTGACGCGGTTCTGTCTCCCCAGCGTCTGATGAACTTGAAACCTTGCCCGCTGGGGTTGTTAAAAAAGTTCTTTCCCCCACACTTGCGTTGACACCCTCCGCTCCCCAATACTCACATGTCTCAAGGGATTCCAGGAACACGGAACCTAGAAATCAAACCAAGAACGTTACTTTAAAGTAGAGGGGCAGCGTAGCCCGAAGGTCCCCATGACCTCTCCCGGCGGCTTTACACAGATGCTGAAACGCACGGGGGATGAGATGGGAACTCTGCGGCTGGACAGCAATCCTCTGGCGCCGCATTCTGAAATCCACCTTTGATGGGATATCTGTCAACTGCCACTTAACTACATCGATTAGGACTGTGAACTGCAGCCTCCGTGATCAGCGGTAGTACACACCTGAAAAGTGGATGCAGGAAAGAAGCAGGAGGCCGACAGCTATCCTCTTCCCACCCTGCCCGTGAGCACTAAGAACAATCTGACCAGCTACATTTGGATAACAAGAAGGCCAGGTCAGAGGAGTGTAGATTCATGGAGCATAGGTGAACCTCTATGGACAGAAGCAGCAATCAATCGAGAGCCAGTTTGGTGTAGTGGTGAAGTGCGCGGACTCTAATCTGGGAGAACCGGGTTTGATTCCCCACTCCTCCACTTGCACCTGGCTGGACGACCTTGGTCAAGCCCTAGTTCTGATAAGAGCTGTCCTTGAAAAAGAGTAGTTTCTCTCAGAGCTCTCTCAGCTCCACCTCCCTCACAGGGTGTCTGTTGTGGGGAGGGGAAGGGAAAGGAGTTTGTAAGCCGCTCTGAGACACCTTTGGGTAGTGAAGGGCGGGGTATAAATCCAATCTCTTCTTCTTCAATGAACTCTCTAAGCTCCACAGAATTGTGAGCAAAAATTCTACCTCACGAGCAAAAAAAAGCTAGTAGTGTTAAAGTTGTGAGCGAGTTTACACTTGACTACTGCATAAATTATTTTTTGAAGATTATTTCCAGAACCTTGTAAAAATGTCAGCATGAATTCTTTTAAACTAAATTGAAACTATATTTTAAGAATAATTTAAACATTATAAGAGAAAACAGAACCAAGTCAAATTTCGTTACACGAAAGGCTATAGGCTATAATGGGGAATTGATCTAGGGGTATTTGGAGCTCGGGGGGAGGGGCTGTTTTTTGAGGTAGAGGCATCAAATTTGCAGCATAGCTGTTCGTGCCTCTCCTCAACCCCCCCCCCCCATTTTGAAAAGACTGGACCAGGGGCCCAATTCTATGGGCCCCAGAAGTAGGTGCCCTAATCCATTGTTTCCTATGGAAGGGAAAAAATGTGAGTTGAAGCTAAATTCCTCTGAGCTGCATTCTAAAATGTTGGGTGCCTGCACCCCCTGCTGCAGCTTAGCGAGAACTGTGGCCAACATACCCCAGAGTGTTGACAGCATACAATGGAAGAAAGTGAACATACAGCAGGTCTCTATTAGGAAAATACTAGACTGTAAGTACAATCTTTTTAAGTCCCCATGCGTCCATTTTTATTCAGGAGGCAAAGCTTCACCTGTCCCCACTACACGCAGCAGTAAAAGGCAGAGTGATGCCCCTGAGAGGCGGGACCTACAGCTAGAAACCATCTTGCTAGATCAGCCAAAGATCTGTTTATAGTCCAGCATCCTGTTTCCAATAATGGCCAGCTAGACACCTCCAAGAAGTCCATATAAGCCAGGGTGCAAAGACAGCAGCCTCCTTCTGTCTTTTCCACTCAACATCTCAGGACTGGGATAGGCTGCCCCTGAACACAGAGGCTCTACCTGCAGCCACAACAGGCTGCAGCACCCTCCCCTCCCCAGATTCCACCCCAAAACCTCCGGGAATTTCCCAACCAGGAGCTGGCTACCCTAGCCAGAAAAAGCCAGCCCAGAATACTGTGGGCTGCCTAGCAACAGCCACTGAGGGAATCCCCTTGTTTTTTTAGACTTCAGGTTTTTCTGCAAACCGGAGGCCATTTTCAGGTTTGTAGAAAGATCTGTCTCACCCATTAACTGCATTAAAAGAACTATATTTTTAAGAGGCTCATAAGTGCTGTACAAACAACTAAGGGCTTTCATGTTTTCCCTCTTCCTGGCTGTGCCATTTTCAAGGGTTTAAGGGCAATCCTATTCCTTCCCTCAGGTTCTTGGGCTGAGCAAATAAGCAAAATGGAGAGTACCAGTTTACTTCCCACAATTAGAAAACATACCTTTACACATTTATCTGCTATTTTGACATATTTATTGCTTTTCAACTGTTGACCTTATAACCTTCGTTTTGTCTTCGCACATCTTCATCATGTTACATGTTAACTGTCTATAAGTTCAAACCTTCCCTACCCTTCCAATGTATCTGAAAAAGGGGATGTACTTAAAGGAAGGACAGGATTGCCCATTGGAAACAAAGTGTGCCTTGCACACAAAAGCTTACATACCCTTGAATAAAACTTTGTTGGTCTTAAAGGTGTACTGGACAAGGGATGCTCTGTATTCTTGGTGCTTGGAGGGGGGGCAACAGTGGGAGGGCTTCTAGTGTCCTGGCCCCACTGCTGGACCTCCTGATGGCCCCTGGTATTTTTGGCTACTGTGTGACACAGAGTGTTGGACTGGATGGGCCTTTGGTCTGATCCAACATTGGCGTCTCTTATGTTCTTAAATTGATCTTGAATAATGATGATTTTCATGAGGGAAAATCTAGCTGAGGGAAGATCCGGTTTCTGCCTTCTGCCACAGGTGTACACAATAAAATAGATGGGCCTTTGGCCTGATCCAACATTGGCTTCTCTTATGTTCTAATGGACTCTCTCTGTTTGTTCAACTGACTTCCAAATTACAGAGGTCAGTTCCCAGGGAGGAAAGAGCAACTTTGGAGAGTGGCGTCTATGGTCTGATTCCCAAACGGAGCTCCCTCCCTAAACCCCAGGCTGTACCCCCAAATCTCCAGACGTTTCCCAACCAAGAGTCGGCGACCCTTGCTCTACCCTCCCCCTGAGAAAGTAATGGAAAACAATGTAATAAAACAGGAGAAAGGAAACTCAACACGGTCGGGGGGGGGGGCAGAATTACAAGACCATCTCCCCCCAAGTACAATCCCCCCCATTACAAATTAAAGGGATATTTTCTGTACAACCAGTTAAGGGGGGAATCAACCTGCAATCCCAAATTGCTCATTTAACGGACAACCGTGCCCCCCTCCTTTCATGTATGGGGGGGGGGCTTTACATTTCTCACCGTTGAAACAGGCAGACGCAAAACCACAGCGCTTTAGCCGAGCTTCCCAGCAACACGCCACGTGCTATTCTTGCGCATGCGCACCCATCCTTTTCTCTCTTTTTTTAATCTGCCCACGTTAAAAGGGACCCGCGCAAATGCAGCTCGGAGTGTCCGCCTATCGTATGCAAATACACCCGATGGTCAGTTTCAGCGAACGTAGTTCGGTTTGTGAAGGTGAAGGTTCCCTTGCTCGAAAGCCAGTCGAGTCCGACTCTAGGGTTGCGGTGCTCATCTCCGTTTCCAAGCCGAAGAGCCAGCGCTGTCCGAAGACGTTTCCATGGTCATGTGGCCGGCAGGACTAAACACCAAGGCGCACGGAACGCTGTTCCCTTCCCACCGAAGTGGTACCTATTTATCTACTTGCAATGTCTTGCTTTCGAACTGCTAGGTTGGCAGGAGCTGGAACTAGAGACGGGAGCTCACTTCGTCATGCGGCACACTCGGGTCTCGAACTGCTGAACTACTGACCTTCCACAGCCTGCAGTTCAGCGTCTTAACCACTTGAGGTTTACTTCGGAGTAAATGAAGCCTCCAGCCGAGGCTGCACGGTGGCGATCCCACGCGCGCCCTTTTTC